CAGTCGGGCCATACAGCCACTGCGGCCTGGGTAACGTTGCCCTGCTTCTCTGGCAGGCTGCCAAACAATTCCGGTGAGCGACGCCACGAAATACCGTTGCCAGAGATGACAAAGGGCTTCCCAAGCATCAACTATTACCAGCCGAGCCGAGTTGTAGTAGTTGCCGAGGGGGTGCGGTTTAGACTGTTGTCCCGCCAAGTCTACCGCCCTACCCAGATGCATTTCCAAACACCGGAAATGTTTGTTCCCTCCGAACAATGGGTTACGATATGGAGAAGAAAGGGCCGGAAGATAATTAATGGAGATCGGAAATGTGAAAGAAAGGATTAGGGAAAAATAAATATGGGTATTTATCAAAACGTTGTCGTAAATGCAGCTTTGCTACCAAAATAGCTGCATTTGCATGTGGTGAAAACACATGTTTCTTCCCGACCTTGAATTTTTGGAGTTTCCTATTGTTATTATAATTAACCTCAATTACTCTTATCAACTAGAAGTAACAATAGGTATACTTACGCGATAGCAATAAAAATAAACGGTGGAAGGTGAGGTCTGATGTTGGCAGACAGCGTCCTGAAGTTGGTGGATAGCTTCCTGGTCGGTACGAAAACAAATGTTAACACTGAAAATTTGCCGGAAAAATTGGCTACTGAGCCCACCTGGAGCTCTGCCTCGCTCCAGCTGGGTTCAGCTTACAAAAAAAGCTGCATACATAATATTAGTGCCACTGATTGACGGCGGCATTGTTATTACAAAGGAGACTATGGTATCGCAAAAATACAAATTTATGTTAATTTTGTATCTCTTTTGCTTCCTTTTTTCCTTCCCTCATTCGAGGCGTTTTTATCCGACAGTTAGAAAATTGAAATTTTAGCGTAGCATCCCCTGCCCCCGTACAACGCAAATTTACAACGTCTGTGTGGGAAGTTTTGGCCAGAAAAATCATTATTTTGGAAGTCAGAAAAGTTAGGGAGCTAAAAATTTCAGGAAAATGTTCCCTACCTAAAAAGGGCTTAGTAAACTCGAATTCAGTTCCTAATTATGCCGAGGTCTCACGTACGACCAAGTGAAAGTCTTGTCTCAAAATCATTCAAAAGTTAGAAAATTAGGATTGAGATTTTGGAAGGATACTCACCCTTCGAGGTTTCAGATTCCGCTTTCACGTGCTGATGCGTGGAATTTTTAACTATTTTTCAACATTTCAACTATTTTTGCACCGACCCAAGTGCAAAGCAGTGAAAATCATTAACAGGCAATCGTTCGGTGGACGGAACTGCACAAAACGCATGATTACACCGGCTATTCTGGTGCGCGCTGCTATTTATTACTCGAAGAAGCAGTGCGGATCAAGAATAAGAAGCATCAAGGGGTGGGTTCCTCATCCTTCCCAGCATAATTTCCTTCTCAGTCTTTACCATTGCTCATTAAATTTAAGTTACATTTTTCGAG